ACCTTCTTAGAACCCTATGTAGTATAGGTTGTCCTCCACTATCCCGAAAAGATTACAACAGACACAGCCATCCTCCAAGACAGCCATCCTCCAAACACCTCGTTTTACCTCTTCCGCCCAACCTCAGACCGGTGTCTCCGCCATTGAAAAAAATGCAACCGTAAAAACAGCTGCAGTTTTGAACCAAAAACGCACGCACAGACACCTATTACAAAGGGGACCGCCAGTGAGTGTATGTTCTGACCCGAACCTTCCCAATTCCAGCCCCGCCTCCAGGCCGTGCGCCAGCGGGCCGTGGACAAGGTGGAGCGGCAACTCGCCGAGCTCCGCGAGGCAAACGGAGGGAAAAGGCCCCCCCAAGGGAGGGCGAAATACGGATGAAGGGAACCGGTGGATGGGCTGAGTTGAAGTTGGTGTGATCTTAAGTAGGGCCAAATTCATGTTAACAGGCCATTTCTTCGATCAGCGTCGCTGCGAATCCCAAGATGTGTGGAGTGAAACAGCGACCATCAACTATACAAGGCACTTCAGTCCCTCAATTCCCTCCTTAGAGTCCGATCCCACGGAAGAAGGACCCCAGAAGACCACTTGCAGGAAGGACTGAGCCCAAAGACTTTATAGGGAATAAGAATGTCAAGTCAGTCTTCTTTAAAAAACATAATTGCATCACATCCCTGGCGGATCCAGACGTTCGGCTTCGGCGGATGACTTGTCGTTCTTCGAACTGTCTCGCTCGAGGACGACATGGGCTCGGGCGTTCCGGACGACTTCTTGGAGGAAGCCAAGGCTTTCGACGCGAGACGAAGCTTTCTCTCCTCGGCTCGACTGGGAGTCGAGCTCATGACGTTGGGGCGAGTGATGTTGGGAAAGACATCAATTGGTATAGAGAATATGCTTTAAAGGTGGTTTATCCTGGTCTTTACTTTTGCTTACATGTCTTAGGTGAGTTCAAGCATCTGACAGCCTGACCGTGACGGCAGGAGTCTAGCCAAACTTTAGTGGATCTCAATCTACAATTTGTTTTATATACATGTTCAATGTGCTTGCTGTTGGATTGTTGGGCAAAGTCCAACAGCATTCTCTTTTCAGTCGCTTCAAGTCTTGGATAAAGGGAGTCCCTTTTCAGCCCCTGAAGAGCTGGGTAAGAGTTAATCCCCGCTAGACCGACGACGTAACAAAATCAACCGCCGCGGGTTTCAGGAACCGCGCGATCGACTGCCTGGACAGGGTTTTTTCCGTCATCCGCTCCTGATCAGTAGAGTGAGACCCTCCTCCATCCAATGCTCCAGCACTGATCCTGCCCAGGTATCTCCATGCAGGTGGTTTTTCAAGCGGAAGATCTCGGAAGAATGCCCAAACAACCATGGTTCTGGGGTGAACGTGAAAAGCAACGACTGCGACTTCACCAGACCAGGCCGTGACCGACGGTCACGTGGTCTTCCTCGACGAGGCAGTCAACCAGGACGGTCACGTCGTTGTTTTGAGCGAGCCCGAACGGAAGGTACTTCTTGGATCTTTTTTGCGTTCAAACGTTCTTTTGTTGGTGGGTATTTGGGTTGCATTCTCAAAACTCAGGACATTTCATTTCTTGAGCAATTTCCTGCAGACTTGGCTATAATAAATATATTATGCGATATGTATTTTATCAAGTTTCTAGGGCTCCTAGGCTTTTTGCGTTTCGAAGATGCCTATGGTGGGTTTGGGTGGGTCTCACCACCTGAGGATATGGACCAGGAGCCCTAGGGAGGGAGTACACCCCAAACAAGTCTTCCGCCCGCCATGCGACCGGCACGCGACCTTTCAATTTGGTGGTGGCAGGACGGAGAAGCCACATGGGCCATTGACATTGAACAGCCTGGGCACCCAAGGTGTCTCTCTTTTTGCTCAACCAAAGCTTTGAGGCTGTTGGGTGATCTTTTCTGAGGGATGAACTTTGGATTGAAGAATGAACATATTAGATCTGAGAGCTTGTGTGCACGCATTTAGGGTTGATAGGGTTGACAATCATCTAGTTGATAGTTGTTAGATCCCTTCAGAATTGATGAATAATTCGATGATATATCGGATATTGTATGAATTTGTATTTGTTTATAGTTCCTTTGGTCTGTTATAATTACCGCCCTCTTGCCATTCTTTCGTGACGTCCAGAACACCCCCCAGAGGCGTCCACCCGCCCGGGTCCACCGCGCCTCACCCGAGGTCGGTGGCGCGGGGCATCACCTCGAACTCGGTGCAGAACCGCTACTTGGACATCCTCGAGTCGGGATGCTCGAGTCGTACTGCACGGACCGGAGTCCGGGTGCGAAGGCGAAGGCTTCAACAGAGGGAGGGAGGCATCGGAACGGAGGCTTCTGGGTTGGTTCTTGGTGGGTTCTTGGTTGGTTATACAAGAGGAGACTAGTAGAGTAAAGCATATGTGGGCGAATGTGCAGACCTCACAAAAAAGCAAGGTTTTTTGATCATGGCGTCACGAAGATCGACTATTGATGCTTAATGCACCGGCATTGGGGTTCCGTGGGTCTCTTGTTGGGATGTCTCTTGCAGGTAAATGCCCATGGTGCTTACTGTGTGTGACTCAAACCGGCTGTCCTGTTACTCACGGATTGAGGATGTCTATGGACACCCACTGCAGAAGTGTCCTTGGATTGTGAACCAATTCAGAGTCTAAGACCGGTGAGTCAGTTGTTGAAACCGTCCCCGAACCGGATCGCCGCTTTTTTTTTGCAAGAGATCAACCCATGTTCCATGAAGGATCATCATCTCAATATCATCTCATCACGAAAGGTAGCTTGAGCTACCTGAGTTCTCCTTGCTTTAGCAAAAATGTATTACAATCAGGAGTTGGGATTGTGCATTGAGTTTGGTCCTGTAAGAGTTGATTTTGATTCTGTTCGTCGGGGGGGGGCCCCCCCCTGGATCAAATCCCCCCTGCGCCGGTTCACGCCGTCATGGACTTTTACCAGGGTTACTTGTGATTGCCTGCTACCTTTCGTTCACCCCCTCCTCTCTCAAGTTTGCTTCAACATTTAGCTGAGGGTTGCACTCCCCGACCCTGGCGTGGTCCAACACCATGTTGTCTTATGTTGTGCCCTGGCCAACAGCTCACATTGGACCAGCACTCAAACTACCCGCTTTCGGGCGCTGGAAACACGACAGGTCCTTGAAGCTCAAGGCCTTTCTGATGAATGCCGAAAAGGAAAGCCAGGCGACCTGCTAGCGGGCCATGACTGACACGTCGAGTCACCTGAATCGCCCAGGTTTGGCGGGGACAGTCCGCCAAAAGTCACGTCTTTCTGTTTCGGACCGGAGAGATTTGGGCATGCAGATTTCCTAGTCATCCAACATCGGGGCAATGCCATCCACTCAAAACCAGGGAGAGAGGAAACCCATGCAGGAAGCTCCCCACGCACGAACGCATCTGCGGCTGGGAATCTGGGCCTTTCAGGTCCAAACCCCTTGAGACGAATCTGCGGAAGCCCAGGGAGTTGAATCAGTCGGACTCAACTGTATCCAACCTGATAGCGATAGCCTCCATTATTTTGGATTTGTATTTTCATGTTGATTGTCAGTGTCTCCTTGGCTTTGATGGGTCCAAAAACTGCAGTATCTAGGAAGCAGGGTTTCGGTCTGTTACATCATCTTTGGAACGGGTGACCTACTAAAGTCTGCGTGATTTCCGATGAACATTGAACATGTTAAGCCTATCTGTCATAGACCTATCTACTGACTTAGGATGATAAACACTAAGTGAGCTCCACATGTTCTTCCGTTTTCGTTGAGACCGGATCCGGTTGTTTTTTTTGAAGCAGAACCTCTCTGTGTGACCGGATCCGTCCCTGTCGTCCCGGCACGGTTGTGCCAGGTCATGGACAGTGAGGACATGAAAGCACAGGAGCAGCGGCTTTGACCGGTTGCGATGTGTTTTTGTGTGTGCGTCAAAAGCTTAGCGGGCTGAAACGAGAATAGATGGTTCAAAACCCAACAACCTGCTAAGTGAACACAGGGAACGACCGACATTTTCTCAACGGTTGATTGTACAACTTGGTCCTCACATCGTCGTGTTGAGGGGGAGTTCTATAGTTCTATCCACAATCATCTCATATCAACCGAGAGGGTTTCCATGGATGTCCTTTTTGGGGGGTTTCACATGTAAAACACATGTTAAAAGGACGAGTACTGTACAGTTCAGCATCGGGCCGTCACTCGGCCATTACCGGAGTCTCCGTGTCTCCGTGGCCGGAGACCGCGGCTGAAACTGGTTTGGGGTCACCGGACCGCTGGTTGACCGGACCGGACCAGGTTCCAAGGAACAGGTAGATTCAGCGGTTGCTCATGTTGAGAAATGCACAGGGGTTCATGAGTGTTTCATGTCCACCGTCCACCATGAGAAGTGACTATATAGGTTTCGCATGATCATCAACCTATCAACCTTGCTACGTAGATTCCAGTGATGTTAGGAGGATATTTCCCTTGAATGATGAGTACAGCCAGAGCAGAGCTGAGTGAAAGTAGAAGTTGTTGATTCCAATGTGCTTATAGAGACTTGCTCAGCATAGTCTTATGAGTTCTTTGCGTTTGGCACTGTACTTTCCTGCCGGAAGAATGGGGAGGGAAAAGCACATGCTCGCGCATACTCCTTTGCTGTTGCATACAAGCTTGGATTTTTACCAACTCGGTTGCCAACCGGTCAGAGCCCTACTCCACCCAGGACCCACAGGTAGTTCGACCCTCCTGGCATCCACCCCGAAGTTGACATCTCCGATATCAACAGCCATGAGACCAAACACTTTCAACATGTTTCAACATGTTTCAACCTTCTATAACTCCTTGAATTCCTGTGCGCTGTGTCTTCACCGCTCCGTGTCTTCACCGCAGAGAGAACGGGCCGCAGAGAGAACCGCGCGTGTCACGCGAACTGCCTGTGGGCCCTCGCACAGCTCCGTTCGTTTTTACGTCGTGTTGGCCTCGCTCAGCTGGACAATGCGCCGCTGAATTCGCTGATGCAGCAGTCCGTGGGAGATGTCTTGGCACCAGAGGACGGCAGTGACGGTCGATCTCGATCCATCGGACGTCGAATTCGCTGAATTCGTTCGCGGAAGGCGTGGACAAGGCGAGCCGTGGCGGTTCGGGTGCGTCGGAATTTGTTGGGGATTCGGAACTTTCTGTTGGAAGCAGAGTTCTTGTTTGTGGGAGATGTTGTTTTGGGGGGTTGAATCATGTTGAATCAATGCATTTGTTGAGCCGTTTGTGGGGCCTATGAATGGTGAAGAAACCAACACCCACAGCGTTCCGCATGCAGATCACTGGGGTCCCAAGGCAACTGATTTTGTCCGGAGAAATCATGGTTCCACCAGCCAACCTAGAGTTCTCCCGATCTACAGTCTTGGCAACATGGTACGCAACCTGACAAAGTGCCCTCACCTGGTGTTTGTGATAATGGGTATGTAACACTATGAGACATAGCCTACACGCTTCAGTGAATCCCAGGCTCCTGCTCATGCTTGAAGCGTCGACCCGACGCAAAGGGTGAGCGGCTCCACTTGGTGTCCGAGACCTCACCTAGTTGAAAGAATGGTTTTAGCATGTGTTAGCCAGTCATGCAGGCCGGGCACTTGAGGACCTTGGGACACACCATGAGGAACTACTACTACTCCTATTCCTACAACTGCTAGAACTGCTACTACTGCTGCTACTTGTTCCCGGAGCTGCCATTCATTGCCATTCCAGCACTGCTGCTGTAACAACCTGGGAAGGGTGGTCGGACCACGATTCAGAAGCTCTTCCCTCTCAATAAACCCTCCGACCGACCAATAGACCCATCCCGACGGCACGCAGTTTGCAGGATGAGGCGATCCTTCTTCTTCTGGCCGAAGAGGCAGCGGCCAAAGCAGCCGTGGCTCGGACAGTCTTCAGGTTGGACAGTCTTGGAGTCACTAGATCCTTGGAACTGCATTTAAGTTCTTGTTTGAAACATATTAATTTAATAAAAACATGTAAAGTTAATTACTTAACCGTATGTTTAACATGTTTCGATCAATAAACAAAGAATATATATATATATATATACCCCTAGGGCTCCAGACATTTCTCAGAATGTGTTTGGAATGACTTTTACTCAGAGAGGTCCTGGGGGCAAGTTTTGTCTCAGAGAGGCCCCGGGACCCCAGGCGCGTGCCGAGGCACTTTCAGGCCCAGATCATAATGTTTTCTCGCTGGAAGCTATCAGACATGTCTGAAACGTTGTTCAACTATGTACAAATAAGTGGCATGTATGGATGATCTAGATCATATAACAAGTGCACATGTACACGATCGAACTTGCTTCGGATCAATGTCTTTTCCGGAGCCATGGGGCTTCTCCGCAATGCTGCTTTGAGAGGTGCTCTTGGGGGGTTCGTGTATGCATGTTGATGTCGACAGTACTTGTACATGTGCACTAAGATTGACATGTGGCAAGCCCTGTGCCTACCCCTTCCTGCAAGACTCTCTGGTTCAGAGCTTGCGCGCTGCGTGGGAAGGCACTGGTTGCGGAGTGTGTGAGAGAGAGATTGATGGCAGTGTAGCCATCACCAAGTGATTGAAATTCAGGCTCATGCACCTTGCCTACCCCTTAGCTTTCAAGGGATGGCTTCGATGCACTACCGTTGGTTTACCCTCCAAGGGCCTGTAGACTCGTTATAGCAACTGATTTGATCCAAGGCAGTGTGTTTTGCCATCCACCAGGGCGTCAAAGCCTACGTTGAAATTTCCAAAGCACTGGTCATGGAACCTGAGGAGACATCTGACTGCTTGCGACTTTGTCGAAAAATGCATCTTTTGCAAGTTGGGTATCATACACGTTCGATGTGTTGTTCGCTAGCGGAAAGCTGGCTGGATGTTCAGGACAAACGGTTGGTTGGTTTCGTGACATACCGATCAAGAAGATCCTCGACCTGTGGCCAGACCTTCGTGTACGCTTTGAAATCTTCTAGATCTAGATTGGGTGACTTCTGGTCCTCGAGTAGACTGACATGGAGGCCAACAATGAGCCCATGAAGGAGGTCCTTTGCTACGTCCATGCTGTAGGGGGATTTGGGCATGCCACATCTCAAGGACTTCCAAGCTTCTTGTCCAAACTTGCTTTGCGGACTGATATCTGCAAACATGTGCAGCAGAAGAACCCAATTGTACTATGCTTTGACTTCTTTGGGGCGTCAAAATTTATTTCCACGGGTGCATTTGTGCGCACCACCTGCTTGCTGAACTACCATGCGGGCTGCTATACCAAGCGGGGTGGCAAGACTGTGACCAAACAAACTCCTTGGAGTCTGGGAATGATGAGAATATAGACCCAATGCCGGTACATGGATTTCAGGAGCTGTGCCAAGCACAACTGGATGATAGCGTCTTAACTTGTACACCTGATGTTTGAATTGGATCAACTGCAGGTTTGTAATTGCACGCGCCACTCGTTAAAGGGCTCGACGACCGATTCTCCGCTGGTGGCACACAGAGAAGACTTTGTTGGCCGATTGATTGATGGCTCGCGGTCACCCAGCCCAGTGGTCTTGAAGAGTCTGGGCTGATGAGGTGGTATGTGGAGTTACTTGCTCAATCCTATCTGAGGGCCATGCAAAACGTGGCTGGAAACGTCTGAGTGAGAACATGTTGCGAGCGTTGAATTAATCGCGGTAAGTTCTCACAGTGGTCTTGGAGCTCACACGTCCCCAAACAGACCCTGAACAAGAGATACCTTCTCAGAGACTATCCGGGAGCACTAGGGGATATATATATATATATATTTTTATATGCGCACATAATCACACTTATAAACATGTTGTTCACATAGGTTATTCCCCTGATGAATGTTGAGCTTCCAGGGTTGCTTATTCTTTTCTCAGATTGCTGTTGAATGTTGAGGGAGTGGCTGTCTGATGCTTACATACAGTACTAGGCATCCTGCGTGCCATGAGCGCGTATGACAGCGTTTGATTACTTTGGCTGGGGTTTTGTTTGGTACAGCCGTATTGAGATGTTTTCACGGTGCACGTTGTTGAAGTGCAGAGAATCTCCAATAAAATGCAGACTTTCTCTCTCCCATCCACCTCTTGCGCACCGATCGCAAGTCTGGTAAGATCAGACGGCCCTCATGACACTAGTTGTAGCTGGTGGTTAGGAGGGAACGATTCGGAGGATATCCATTGTCCTCCTGAACCAGGGAACGAAGGAATAGCAGGGGGTTCCCGATGCACTAAGAAGCCTCCACTTCCATGACTATTTCAGGGAGGATACCGGGATGGACAGGTTTATACTAGATTTTTACATTCAAGTTTCAAGCCTCCGTGCCACTCTGCGCGTGTCAAATTTGTTATCAACAGGGGTGCGGAACATGTCCCGTTGAAACGTTGGAAAACCAAGTCTCTTTGTAAGCTGGTTTGCTCCACTTTTGTATGTTTTGCGCAAGCTGGCTCAGAATAACATCAAAGAAAGGACACGGACTCCATATGAGCCTTCTCTCTCATGTCCAAGACCATCAATAATTGTCTATTTACTGTTCTTTTTCACACCCTCTTTGTTGGTAACCCATGTTTCAATAACTTAATCAATCAGCGCAACCAGCCTCTACGGAAATTATCAAATTTCCGCACTAGTAGTTGGCAATATAAATCTATATAGCTACATATATGGTCCAGTCATTTAGCGGAACATACCGCTGAAAAAAGCCGACTGCAAAAGGCTGTTGAGCTGCCACCTGCTTTCCTTGAACCTAAAAGGTAACAATCACCTGTGCTTTCCAACAGTACAACAAACCAGTGATTGCCCACATGTGTATTAAATATGGCGGGCAGTGCAGAATCATGATTGTTTGTTAATCTCTCAGGGATCACAGGGGGAGAAAGGTGGACGTCTTAACGGCCGGCCAGATATATACATTTAAAGTCCTACCAGTTCCCCCCCCGGGCACTTTATCATTTGCCCGTTCGCCTAGGCCTCCCGCCCTGTGGCAGAGTATGGCCTCCGCTTGATCAAGTGGGGACGTCCCGTTGGTGAGCGGCCGACCGACGTGTTGCAAGTTACATGCGCATCGGTGCCAAGCGGGAGATGAAGGCACATGTAGAGCAGAGTTGATCATTTTTCGAAAGCAACCTCTTATTACAAACAAAAAACAAACACGTTAATTAAAACATTGTCCTTGTGGATTGAGGGTTGTTTTGTTTTTCTCCACCTGTCAGGTGAGGGTTGTTAGATTTTATGTCAGCTGCCTTGCTCCTTCTCCTCCTCCGCCTCGTCCTCAACCGCATGTGCAGGATGGCAGTGTGCCCCGCCGGACCTCAACCGCAAGTGCCAGATCACAGTGGGCACTACCGGACCTCAACGCACAACTCACAACCACACAACATGACCACAAACACACAATGCAGAACCACAACCACAAACAGAACAACCACAAGCACAATCACAAACAAACAACCACAAACACACAATCACAAACACACAAACACACAAACACAAACACAACAACAAACACACAACCACAAACACACAATCACAAACACACCCACAAACACAAACACAAACATACAATCACAACACACACAACCAAACACAGAACCACAACCACAATCACAAACACGCAATCACAAACACAACTACATTCACAAAAGAACACAAACACACAATCACAAACACATAGCCACAGACACAACCACAAGCACACAATCACAATCAGAAACACACACACACACACACAGCCACAAATACGCAACCAGCTGGAGACCCTGGCAGTGGCCATGGCAACATGCTCCTCACCATGCATGAAAACAAACAGTTGAAATGTCATGGTAGGGGCCACTCGAAGTAAAGTAGTTTGTTTTTTCCGGCACATATCAAAATTGGTAGCAATACGTCGTGATGGCAAAGGATTTCTGTAGCTTGCGCCCAGTGACTTTGAACTCTGCGTTGTTGAGTTGGTCACCAACATGTGATTTTTGTTCAGCCTTTCTGAAGCCTTTGTGGGGGCAGCACTTGAACCTTTTCTCAGGAACTGAGTAGAGTAGATATGAGTAGATAAAATTTTCACATGTTTTTCGCGCCTGTACTTGGCAATCCGTCTTTATTGTTATCATATTCATATTCTTACACACATGGTATTTTTCCGTCACCTTTTAAGGTGTTCGAAAACCCATACACTCATTAACCCCACCTGCACTAGTTAGTTTTGAGCAACGGTCAGGTGACCACCTCAAAAAAGACCCGACTCTGAAATCACTAAAACCACTGGTGTAAGCTGAAACCACTTGATGATTTCATTGGAGAATGAATCTGTGCATCAAACATAATTCCAGTATAGCTTAGGCTTAGCCTGTCTAAGACCTATATGGACGAACCAACTTGTTGGATTTGGAGATTTGCTCCGCCGCGTTCAGGCAAGCCCGTATCCGTCAGGATGACGCCAAGGCACCCGCGGGTTTTGGGGGCGTCGGACGAAGGCCACCCTCACAGCAGGGACAAGGACATGGGCTGAAGAGCTGGTCAGAGTTGTGCGGATCTGATTTTGTATGTTCCTTATGGGTGAATCCCTTTGCCGGGTTCCTGCACAGCAAATCTAAGATGAAAAGGATAGGAAACCACGCTGCCCAGCAGTCTTCCGTGGCCAGAGATGTAGTTTTAACCCGACAGCCCAACAGCGCCGCCCTAGTTCATTACATTGAGTTAGGACGTTGGTAGATCTGGTAGATGGGGCTATGGAACTGTGTTTCTAAGTCTTCCTGTGTTTGCTGACCTGGTGATTTTCTATATTTATTCAATTGATAAATCCCCTAACCTGGTGAATATAAATAGCAAGTCCAAGTCTTGGAGTGGCAAATGGATGACTTATACTGATGACTCTCGGACTGGGCTGCCCAATCAGTCCCTCAGTCTCTAGCGAGTAGATTGACTAGGCGACTATAGGTTGAATAGGTTGTCCTCTCTTTGTAGAGAATATCGTGAATTTTAAGAAGCAGACATGAGAGAGCCCCTCGGCTTGATTGAGCTAGAGAAAGACTCCGCGTTCGTTCCTGCTACTATCTTCTAGCACAGAAGTGCTGTAAGCTGCCAACCCCTTAAGCCAACTGGCGCGACTCAGAAGGAACGCAATCGAATGGAGGAATGGATCCAAAGGTACTTGTATCTATGCATATACAGTGGTTTCAGAGTTGATTGTACAACCTTTAGATGGGGGTCCACCGTTTCAACATGTTTCAATCACTAAACTCGGGGGAAATGGTGCCACTACTCTCCATCCACTAGATGGTGAGGAGTCAGAATGGGTCAGAAACTCCTATTCCCGACATTCCCCACATTCCGCGCCTGTTATCAGGAGCGCAAGCGCCGAGTCGCGTTACTGAGAAGATGGGTCGAGGCAGGGCCGCTGTCGACGTTGGTAGACGGTGCTTTTCTCCGGGTCAAAGCGGAGTTCCAGAGGTGGGGTACCTTGCAAAAGTGGTGAAACACATGTGAGACTAGGGGCAAAAACGGATGGTGACCTGTGGGGATGAACTATCCAGTCTTGGAATACCACGTCTTTGATTAAACAAAGAGTACTCTTGAAGATGTGCAGGACCACTCGGGTGCCTTTCTGACCATGTTCCCGAAACTGCTCTCGAAGTGACACACTTCAGTACAATCCACCGTTGCTTGGTGTGGCTGATGTCACCACTTATCAAGCGGCTGTTAATCTCAGCGAGAATTTTGTGAAGATGGTGAAGAGTCCAGATCCAGCCGAGCTTGTGTTGCTTCTATCGAGGGAGGCATGACAAACATATTTCACGAACTCCCCGTGCGGACGAGATCGCTTGCGTTGTATGATGGAGTCAGACGCTTGGACTGGACCAACCCAGACGTTCTGAATGAACGCTGCGCAAAACCGGTGATGTTTTTGATCCTGCAACTGGTGCTATGATGTGATGGAACCATCAAGCCGATCTATGTGGAGTACAACCTTTGATGGCAATGACATCTATTCCTAGGGATCCAGTCGTACCTTCTCAAAAGGTACTTGGACCCTCCAAACCTACACAACAGTGTCTCCAATCACCTTCTGAGAAGGTGCTTGGATCCCTATGTTGTGGATTGCTGAATGAGCGCCAGACATTTGATGATGCGGCACGGGTGAGCTTACTCATGCATTACTCTCTTCCATCCCCTTCTGCTGAACTTTGCTCGTTTGGTCCGACCATATATTGTGCTGGATTTCTGCGTGAAACTACTCCGGCGCAAGACACTGGCGGCCGTCAAAGATGAATTGAATGGGGGCAATTTCTGGAACAACGATGAGCAACGTGTACAACGCCAGCATTGGACAGACTGCGAGAAATGGCTTTACTATAGAACTTGACGCGGTGTGCTGTCAAGTTCGGAAATTCTATGACACATGTAAGGTACAGTAGGCTCTTGATCAATAAAATCTCTCATTTGGGGTTGTACCTCTTCCTGAAGGGAGGTTGTATTAATCAAGAGCCTCGTCCGTGATAAGTATGTTTTCCTCACACAGTGGACCAAGCTTTCCAAGGAGCAAGATGCCGCCTCACCAGAGCCATGATTTTTGATCGTGCACGTCAGGTGCAAATCTACCGCACTGTTCTCAGCAATCCCAAGATCCCGGTATCACCTGGACAAAAGCAGTTCCGTAAGGGTCTGGGCGATCAGAAACCTAGGAAATGCAAGGGGCTTGAAGATGTCTCGACGACCAGATCGAGCACTGATATACTCCCCCTCCAGCCAAGCTGGGAGAAGCATTCAGGTGCATCTTGAAGCATGTCCAGATCCAGTGCCTGTGTACGCTGGGAACCAGTGCTCCAGTCTGCTCCACAACACCTACGGGGTAAAACGATCACGTTGGTCCAAAAGTGCCTCATGCTGCTGCCGCAATGAAAAATACCATAATCTATCACACTATTCAGGAAACAATTCAATCACATGCAAATAGCCCACCTTATTTCAAACCTGCCAGTGATGCCGCAGAACCACAGAGCACCGGCATTGATGGCAGTGGCCAAGCATCCCAGAAAATTCAGAAAAGAAAGCTGGGCTATTCCTTAACACGTTGCTATGCGTTTTCAAAGAACAAAGATCTACTGTAAATATCGGTGTTCCGAACAAAAAATATTGTAATGCCATGTAATTCTACGTGTTTTGCCTTGTGTCGTCTTGACAGCAGAAACCGCTTCTGTCGGTTCTTTTAGACACAACTTGGTCCGAGATCGGGCTGATCGCCCGAACAAAAAGGAACATGGTCCGGGCGGTCAAACTGACTAGGTATGCACCTCAGATAGGTATGCGGTATGAAACCTCGGTTATATACTAATTTGTTCATGTGTGTGTGAAGACCTCAACAACTGTAAACTAGGGTTTTGTTCTGCTATGTGGTCAATCTTCGGGCCTTCAAGTTCTGCAACCACCAATAGAAGTCAATGCGCCACTTGAGAAGTTCGGAGCTTCCGGCTGTGATTTGTTTTATCAGGCTCTCATTCTGCGTTGTTTTTACTGCCCAGACATGTTTCCTTTGTTTTGCATCTTTGCCATCGGCCAGAAGAATACACCATCGTAGCGCAGGTGACTTTGCAGAAGAATCACACCACTCACTAAACACCCCGTTCCATATGTTTTGTTCTCATACCACTGAATGCCTGCATGGAATAGCTACCTGGAGTCATATCATGCAGTATCTGATTGATGTCTCCGTGTACATTTCTACAGTTGCGCAGTCATCCTCAAGGTGTGTGTGTGTGTGTGTGTTTTTTTTAATGGGATGTGCACAGTATTTGAACATGTTTCATATGTTGCTTGTCAAGATGACAAGATATAACAGTTGATACTACAGTTGATATAATAATATAACAGTTGATTGCTTGTCAACTGTTGAAGGGGCATGCTTCTATCTTATTGTTTGCACCAATGATTCCATGCAGAGATCCACTTGACCAGGCCCTTTCCGCGCCAGGAGAACTGGCAGGGCCAAGCGCCGGAGGAGTTGATCGCCCACGCTCACGTGGAGGAGCCACGGGAGCCACGCCCACCGCGACGCGACGGTGCCGTGCAGAGCCTGGTAGAAGGGTTACACTCCCTGGAAGGGCCCCGGCCCCGAGTTCGGAAGAGCATTTTTTCCGAACGCCAATCAACATGCAGGGGGGGTTTTGCATCGTTTTTCCATGTCCATCAGTGTTTTAGGGAGTGGAAAGCCTGCAGGATTGGGTTCTTCTTCCAAGTACAAATATATAGTCAAACTTGCTCTTGCTCGCTTGTTGTGATGTGATTTGGAAGAGACAACAATCAACAGCACTTTGTACAACTTTGCGCCTACGTATCATGGAAGGATGAAAACACAGAAAAAGAAGCAGGTTTCAATTGATATGTTCCGCTCCTTTTGGGGGGCCATTTTGGAGACCCAGAGATTCATTTGAAGGGTGTGGGCGACTCGACCCATTTGTATGGGTCCATCGACCGAAAAACAATCTTCACCAGGCTGTTTCACCAGGCTTTCCAGTTCTTGGACGGTCTTGGACGGTCCCTCAAGTTGTTGACTGCCCAGTTGGAGATGTTAGGAGTCGCTCAAAGCACAAATCGATGCGAAAATGAGAACGAAAAATCGACTTCCAGAACAAGAGTGACGGGGTGGTGACTTGCAAGTGGCAAACACCTTGTGGTGGCAGAGTAGAATGACCCGGAAACCCTGCATTCTTCCTTTGCTTTTTTCACCGTGCATTCAACTAGAGACCCCCTTCCCCAACACCTCATGGTAGAAAAAGGTAATCCATTCTGTTCATGTTCAGTGGTCAACCCAGGTCCCCCTGGTTTTGATCCACAGCCATATGGGGTGGTCTTTTCGGGGAGCCTCGGCCGATCCACTGAACCTGCCCCGGTTCGATCGACCCGTGCAACCCGTCCGTGCACCGACACCGCCGACACACCGAGGACTTGGCGGACGCCATCGAGCTGAAACCGCTCGAGAGGCGACCCCACCGAGTCACTTCGACCCCCAGAGTTCCTTCGTCACGTCGACCACCGCGCCCCGCAACGGCGGAACAGGCGACGGGCAGGCGGTCGACCGGACGTGCAGTCCGGTCGCGATCGAAGAAGCGGTCTTCGGTCGTGTTGGTCCAGAACAGTGGATGAAAAGACCACATCCCAACAAAAAAATGCTTGGGCGGTCAAGTTAGAATTGACATGCGCTCCCTTTAAACTGAATTTTCCCAAGGTGCCACTGACATTGGTTGTTTTGTAATGTCTTTATTTGTTGTTTACAACGGTTGAAACCACTTGGGTCGAATGCTCATTTGTGCCATCTCTGTGGGACCGTTCATTCACATCGCATAGGAAACGCTTCATCAGCGCTGTCGAGGAGGGCTTGAAGGAGGAGGAGGTGTGTGCTCAATGGAGATCGGGGTGGGGGTCACTTGTTCGTCTCAGCTAGCACAGGCTAAAACCCCAACGCTGTGAGTAATAAGCCTGCTGTCAATCGTTGTTTTCTGTTTGTTTTAGTTTTGCGCTTAATTTTAGAGACAGTATACTTCCGCGCGGCTTTCGCGCAACTGTAAATTCCACAAGTACAGCCAACTGATGCATATGATGAGAGTGAAAGGTTTGTTAAAACATAAATTGTTGAGAGGAGTCGTTTGTTTGTTTTGCATGGACCTGACGATGCAAACGATACAAAAACAACAAGTATAGTAAAACAAGTGATAAATGACAACCATGTGTTTTCGATGTTTGTCCAACCCCTACTCCTCTCCAGGCACATCTCATGATGCAGATGCAGGAGATGCATGTGCAATTCCAAACGAAAAAGGTACCCCCGAGCTAAAGCAGCAAAGAACGCGACACAATCGCGCCCCTCAGCACCTTCGGTGTGGGCCATCTGGTGAATCCCTTCCTGGTGACTTGTCCGTTCCTGCGAGGCTCCTGTTCAAGTGTCCTGCAGCGGATCCCAAGGCATCCAGCGCCAATGCTGTCACCAGTCTGACGGGCCCAATGCTGTCACCCACAGTCAGACGGCCCCGGCCGCCAGGAGTTGGTGGAGATGGAAGAATCGCCCCTGGCAGAGGACGATGAGTGGGTTCTTGTCTCGAGGGAGTTCTGATCTTCCGGGGCGGGGGGGGTATGAGGAATCATCATGGGATTGTTTGGTCAAAAGGTGATTGGAGAGTGAGATGGGCCGATTTCTAGGGGGCCAAGGGGGTAATGTCAACTCTTGGGTGGGTCAGAGTGGGTCAGACTAGATGCTTTAAGCATTTGAGATTCACTTTCTGACTCCATACACGAACCACGAACCTTCGGGGTGAAATTCGGCGGAAGCCTGGCTGGAAGCCACTAGACCCTCGTCACCCACCTTCGGGCTGCTTTTGTGCAGCATGGTGCGGCCTCCATCGGGTCCTTGTTCTTTGCCGTCCTGACAACTCACATCGCAATGCAAGTGGGTCATGTGGGTCAATCCTGGAGCTCTTAACCTTCAGGTTTGAGCCCTTAACATCCTTAACCGGTTTTGAGTTTTGACCCACCAACATCCTTTTCACCCTTTGAACTCGCATGGGCATCCAGGTCGACGGTGTTCCAACGAAGTTCAAGAAGTGTTACCCAGAACCCCTTGACGGTCACTCTGATTCAGAATGATCCAGATTAGTGAAGTACGATGAGGTTTAGGCCCTACGACGCAGGCCCTGAAATTAGTTCAACGACGTCCAGCAATTAGTTCAAGAGAGCAGAGGGCACAGCAGCCACGTGCTTCAGGACGCTCAGCTGCGTTACAAGTACTTGCGCACGCGCATGGAGGCCATCCGGAAGGAGAGCGGGGCCTTCGGTGGCCGCCGCGTGGATTTTGGGGCCCGGTGGCGGAGACCTGGGGAGCCGGGAACATGATTCGAGATGATTCGAGAGATTGAAAGAGAGGAAGATCCTTTGAAGAATCCTTGGTTGAGAGGTTTTGTAACAGGCTCCAAGGGTGAACATGCAGATGAATCATGATTTATTTGGAAGGATTCAGCGGGGATGAGGTCATTTGCGGTAAGAGGTGCGTGTATGTTTGTCACAATAATATGGACATGTCCGAATGTCCATCGGGTTGAAATTGTTAGATCACACACAGTGAGTGATAGAAAAGCTATGGCCGATGATGGGTTTGGGATGATCTGGGCTGCGTCATCAGCGGAAATTTCACTGCAACCCGCCAGACCATGATTCCGATGGCGCCCTTCTTGATGCCCCCCGCGTGCCGCACATGTTTGCACCGTGCAGCATGTGCCGCATGCTCCAGGAGCTTCCCAAAGGCATGGATGCGTCTCAAGCCGATGCGGAGGAGACGAGTGACACGATCGAGTCTCACACACTCCGATCAGTTGGGGGTGATTGAAAAGGGGCAATGGAGTGATACAGACTTCCAGTCCGAATGTCTGGGAATCGCAAGGGTCTTAAGATGGCAAGGTCTTTGCTGTCAAGCCATGAACATGGAATTATCGATCCCATATGAATACTCTATTTTGAGCATCACTCATGTTGACTCGTTGGAAATCGATGACAACCTCGGGGGGAGAAGTTGTGTGTCACTTTGGTTCTCACGAAGAACACGTGGGCCACCTTTGTTGAGGGTGTGTCGGGTGTGCCCATTGCTCCTAAAGAGAGGACGCATGCTCCCAGAGCTTTGGTGGGTAAGATCTCGAAGGATTCAGCATTGAAAATCGCTGAAGCCCCTTAGGCTGAAGGATTCAATCCTTTTGAACATTGCACTCCCTTTTGCGGTGGATCTCCACTACTTTCAGCTACTTTGACCTTCAAAATAAGGAAAGAGGTCGAGATTGTTCTTCCTTCAACTAGGTTTTGGAGTGAAGAGCAGATTCCACAGGGGCCGCATCCTGAAAGAAGTAGGTCTTTGAGAAAGAGAAGACCCTACGCCATACAATAAGCGGTTTTTGGTCTATGCTGCTTAGCCTTATATATAAATCATAGGAACCCGGATCCCCTGACCTCCGTGCTCCTCGCGCTCTCCAGTCAAGTTGCGTGGATCCGCCTTTGAAAGCGCTCCCCACCGAAACGGAGATTGCGCTGTACACCCATGTCCAATCTTTTGAAGAACACCTGAGAATGGGTATTTGGTTGCAAAAAACCAAGAAAAAGGGGTCACCCCCCAAACAAAGCAAAAACAAAACATACAAATATCTACAAACAAATGATATCATTGTGACCATGCTTCAGCTCAATGAAGAATTTGCTTGATTTGAGGGACCTTGACATTCTGATGAGCGACCTGCCTCTCAAGGACATCGCGTTGTTCCTGGGCTTCCTGCGTGCAAAGACCGCGGGAGGGTTGTGAGAGTGAATGGATCAAAGGGGTGTGGTGCTTGGCACTCTGGTCAATCCTGCATGGAAAGCCCCAAGGATCTGCAGTCTATAAGGACATCCACAGACCCCAGATAAAGCCCCAGTGCCCACGTCACGTCCGAAGCCTCGACGGTACTTCGACCTCCCAAAGCTACCCTAACCACCGAACCGAAACGGAGGTAGTTGGAACCCAAACGCGACCAAAAGTGCTTGTCAGTATGGTTTGTCTTGTCATCAAGAAGACGAGTGGTGCGGTCTAGGACGGTCTGGTTTTGGTTGTTGATATCTTGACCCAATGTCAAACATGTGTGTCTGTGTGTGCGGGATATGAAGAAACCCCTAAACATGGATGCATGGCAAGCACACTTCCCCATGTGTAAGTATGATTCCCAGGTATAGCTTGTGATAGTTTCACAATGTCCACTTTGTTTCGATTCACCGTATTGTTGTTTGTCTATTATATATTCGCTCTTTGAGTTGTGGCAGTGCACTTCAGGTTGACCTCATAAATCCCTTTGATCACCTCCTAAAGATGGTTGATTACTCTTAGCAGCAACCCCCAAACACGGTCGGTCGCCCAAACACGGTACCAAATCGCTGTTTTTGGTATTCACCAAACACGTCTGACAGGTCAACCCGGTCAACCGCCTCGCTCGGTTTGTGGGTCAAGTTGCTGTTGTGGTAACATCTTCAAAGGTCCAAAAATCAAGCTTGTTGCGCTTGTCCCCACTAGTGCGTGTTAGACATATGCGTAAGCACTCACCTTCTGAGCTTTGAACGTTAGCGCAACACTGAAACAACATGAAATGACATCCCCATTGAAGCCACCAGAGGGGAGAAATCTCTTGAAGTGGAAGTGTGGAACCCACATCCAACTTCAAGAGCGCAATGTTCCAAGTAATGTTTTGCACCACTACCACCAATAAAGTAAGTGATTGGGTGTAGGAAAAGATGGAAAACCGGTCAAGTCAAAAACATGCACCTTTGATCCTTTCCAGCAATTTGACAACCTGCCAAAAGTTTGAAGGAACGTCCAAGGCTTGACTCTTGATAAGCAAAAATAGACCCAATAACCCAAGAGACAACGCAGAGTACTATGTTCATGGAGTTCTATTCTCTAGTGTTGTTCATTAATTCTTTGTTGAAGCAGAGTTTATGGAATTGCTTGACCCAATAATGACCCTCCTGGGAAGCATCTCAGAACCTGTCCAGCTTTGCTGCGGGACACTGTAGCCACTTGAGCCTCAAATTAGTTGCTTGATACCCAGAAGCTATGCATGTACCCACGAGGTTTCAATGATGAGTTGAAATACATTCAACTCGGATGCAAACTTCCGAAGCTTCATACGAAGGATTTTTTTGGATCCTAACGTATAAAGAATGCCTCCAAAGCTTCGCCAATTGGCTTTGAGTGGGCAGTGTGAAACCAATGCTTTGTTAGATGTTGGACGATATATGAAAGTAAGCCCCAAACCCAGAAGCCATGCATTGGATCAATCATGCTTTGCTTTCTGACTTGATCAGTGAACTTAAGATTAGGACATGATAGGATATGCAAAGGTTCTACACAAACATTGGGGGCTTGTGGTGTGATTGCATGAAACAGATCTTGCCCCTTGAGCTTTCGAAGGAAATGATGCGGCCAGGGTTGCATACAGTTATATACTTAACGGGTTTGTACATCCAACGCGCTTCGAGGTTTTTCAGCCTTCTCCGATGCACAGAGGACTCTACCAGCCTCAGAAGATGTGAGACCCCCCCAACAGGCCTCCCCAGCAGGTGGAACGTGGCCCTTTGCAACCTCTCTACATGGTGGAGAGGCCAAACGCCGACGAAAAGAAACACACCGAATATGGAAGCAGACGCGTACGCGGACGCACGGCGGCTTAGCCGGAGATCATTTCGGGACCCCCGACATCTCGCCACCAAGCCACGGTCCCTGTGCAAAGTACCCAGCCCTTCGGACCCGTTTGCTCCTTGATGAATTTGGCACGTCCGATTTGGAGCTGATGATGCAAGATGAGTGGAATGATGCAGAGCCTTGGAGGTGATCAAATTCTGTTGTGTTTTGACACGATGTGGAATTCTGCATCAAAGTCAAACCCTTACAGGCCTTCAAAATCCTGTCAATTATATAAACACATCATAACACACCAGTGACTCGAAGCTCATGAGTATATAAGCCTTTGTGTTCAAGGCAATGTCTCACATAAACCCCTAGAATGGCAACTGCATTGACGTGGTCATGTGATGAAGACACCTTACAATCCTCATAAAGGAAACCTCCTCGCTGATGGGTTCCGGAACTAGACAGAAACAAGCAAGAGAAATATCAAGCTTCGGATTTCTTTCAGAGCTGGAGTGACAACGAACTTCTTCAGACCCACACCGGTTTTTCCATGTATAGCTTCGTAATATACACCCCAACCAAACCCAGACACTCCATGGGACTGCCATAGATGCCGATCAGGCCAGGGGTGGTGCCAGGGGGGGTCAATTGATCGGCAGTCCTATGGCAGTCCCATACAGGTGCTACCCCCCCCCCCCACCGAGCGAATTCGCTCTTCGCTCAGTTGCCCCACCTTTCGCTCGCTCGCTCCGCTCAGGACTTGCAACGAGCCCTTCGAGAGTCCCTGGAGACCGCTTCGGCGCGACATGGCACGCCCTTGGGCACTCAGGCGCTCTCGAGCGGTCAGAAGGTCAGAAGGTCAGCGGTGTCGATGTGTGGCCGCTGTGTGTGTCCCGGAGAGGCGGGTGGAAGCCGAACACATGCGAACGGCCCCAACAAAAGCTACTTGAAAGAAATCAACACACGAGTGGTCAGTGAGTTGGTCCAGTTTCTTCGTTGGGTTCTGTCGGTTTAAGCCCTTAAACGATTTGGACTGACTGAATCAAGCGTGCAGTATCATTAACGATCATTGATCTATCCACTGTCCTGTTTGGTGTGGGTCATTTTAAGATGCTCCTGTTGCTTCAGTTGAATATGTTATCCAAGGCCAGCATCACACACACACACACTATTCTTCGATAGATAGATGACTTCAAAGTTAGCGGCATCACCTATGACCCACCCACTGCTGAACTGGATCTCCAACACACCTGGGATGCTTCGACATGTAGAGATCGACATGGTTCCGAACGCTTCGACCCAGCTGAATCGTGTTTCCGCGCTGGGGGAGGTAGAAGCTGAAGTCGTAGGACCTGACTCTAAGCCTGGAGAGGGTACATGCAGGGGATGGATTTGACTCCTTTCAGGGAAGTTGAAGACTTCAAAACCGATCTGTCTTAGGTGGCTTCTGTCTTTCCTAGCGCTTTAGGGATCCACATACCTTCTCAGAGGGTACTTGGACCCTCCAACTTTAACATACAAGTGGTTTTGCATCACCCTCTCAGAGAGTATGTGGATCCATAGAGTAGAGTATATGGACCAATCTGTGAGTCTTAGACCTTTCGAATCCTTTCGACCGATTCTTCTCAGGCCCTGCGAGACATGAACATATACTTCGAGTGTCAAACTCCAGGCGTGGACGAAGCGTGGTGCGCGGTACTCGTGGACGAAGCGTGGTGCGCTTCAGGGTCCAACGATCATGTCCCAGACACTCCCTCCTACTCTGCAATTACAGGCATATATACCATACCACATGGAGTGTTTGGGTTTGGGATCCAAATAGGACCTGGTGATCCAAACACACGGATAGCACCGAGCCACGAGACTCGAACGTTGCTGCCTGAAGATAACGTTCCTGCAAGAGTTTCCTGCTTTTGAACCACATTTGCTCGTGTTTGGAAGGCAGACTAGGCAACCCCACTCTTTCTGGACCTGTCAAGAACAAGCCCTCGTGGCTTTCTGTGGTCTACTTCACCAGGGTTCCCACTTACGCATCGCAGGACCCTGCGCATGGCCTACGTACACATCCATGGAAAGACGGGTAGGACACGGACCTCTCCCGGGGGGGTTCTCCGCCGATGTGGTCCATTCCTCCATGTCTTTCACCCCGGACTCCAGCGGTTTCAAAGGTTCGATGGAGAAACAAGCATAAGTTACCCCAAGCTTGGTGGAGTTACCCCAAACTTGGTGGTTGAAAATTGGATCCCTCATCGGACATCAAACTCCAGGCTCTGATACTTGCGGCCTCAATGCGTTGAACAATCTCTGCCAGCGGCCCCTCTTCTCGGTGGAAGACCTCCAGCATGCCGAAGCGCCGCTTAGTCAGCAAGAGGAGACGGAGGGCTTCGCGCAGGATAGGTGGCCTTGGATGCAGATAAGGGCAACTTCTGGTGAAGAATGTTCATCACCCAGATGAGGATCACAGTGGTTTCTTTCTTCCGGAGGGAAGCCCATTAGTATTTCATTAGTGGCTAATGGAGCCTACCAATCATAGGGGTATGTAATATAGGAGGCTTTGGTTTTCTGTTCGCCCGGGCACCGGCACCACCTACGTTCGCCAAGTTTGGAGGGCCGTGTAGTGTTCACCGTGGTGCTTGTCTACGACCAGAAGAAGTCTGTAGAGGACTGCAAGTGACTGCATTTTCTCACTTTATGCTCTTCTTGGACTTCCCCCTGGCTTACACTTGAGCAGGTCTCCGGGTACAGGAAATTCATGGAAATTGAACTATCTTCCATGATGCTTTGAAGATATATCCTTTACATCAGAACTACACCGACAACTTCCAGAAATTGAACCCTGGAAAGCCACGAACCCTTTTGAGACCCACTCTCAGATCCCTTTCGGGACCCACACATTGAACCTGAACACCACTGAAGACTTTGAGGACCGATCCTGGCAAGTAACAAGGGGCCTGGAAAGATGATAGGAACCATTTTTCCCACAGCTGTGGCGGAAATCGCACCCAGATGATTCTCCACCACAGCTCGCCATGTTTTTGTCGAGGCATCTCTTCGTTCCTCAGAGCGACCACCCACTGTTAGGCCAAAAGCCAAAAGCCTTGCGGGTCACACACGGTCAAACCATGAAGAGATTGACCAGGGTAGCCCGGAGGATCCCGGATGTGTTGTTTTTGTGTTTCATGTTTGTTGCTATGGAAGAACATCATTATAAACCCCCATCGTTCATTATGATTCACTTTTCCAACTCCAGAATGCATGGAATCAATTTGTACATCAAGAAGGTTCGTCGGACTTCGTCCAGGTGCTAGTTTGGTCCCTGCACCAAAAAAGGAGCCGCACACGTCCACAAAGAAAAGCCTCCATCCGAGGCAACACGCGCAAGTGACTCAGGGCGGCCATTTTTGTCAGCGACCCTCCTTGACCGAGGCGGAGGGTATTTGTCGACCGGACTGGATGGGTGGTGGGCAGATAGTGGACTGTTCCCATGTTTAGTTCACAATTGTCATAAGGAAAGGTTGGATATGCTGTTGCTCATTAAGCCATGAGTCCCTGGTTTTTGTTTCAAGGATAGCATCCCATGAACTCATCTAAAAACTCGTAGATGATGCCGGGGACAAAAAGTTTTGATGTTGGTGACCCAGCACCCCTCAGACCACCGATGTGCGTTTTGGAAAAGTGGCACAGCAGAAATCACCAGAACCCTGGATCAGAGTTTGGGTCAAGGACGGCCAATATGGGTCAGAGAGGGTCAGAGATTGTGCTATGAAGCTTTGAAGGTCGTCCCACGGTAGCTGATTCGCACCAGCAGACCATTACCTTGTAGATTTCTGGATGCCTTTGGCCCATGGTTTTGTTCAGAATGTTGAATTGAGTTGTTTCTAAAGATGCTCTTTAACGAATGTTCTTCAGAATTGGTGATGGACCCTTGGCTTCATTGTTGCTTGCGTGCGCTTCTTCACCCACCGCTTCTTCACCCCCATAAAGGTGCCCTCCCCAACAAGAAAGGCTTGTTCCATTGGACCTTCCACCAAGCGTACCCATGGTCCTAAAGAAGAACTTGTTTGCTTGTGATCATATACTGTATACATCTATATATATATATATGTTTGTTGATGTCCATACCGAGGACATCATCATGTGATTATATGTGATTGTTGCTTTTTTGAGAGATGATCTTGGCTCGGCGCTCGTGCAGCAGGCAAACCTTCAGCTTGAAGTCGAGAGTGCCATCAGAATCACCCCGATTGTTTAGGTATTCAGGGTATTCATGTTTCACATTGGGAGGTCCCTGGTCAAGCTTTATGACACATGAAACACATTCGATTTCCACTCTTATCCACATATAGGAGACAGCAGAGCAAGTGCTTGCGGATGACTTCGCCTGTTTGGGGAAGAATTCGCTGAAAATACAGCAACCTCTTTGGGTATGTTCTCGAACCCCCACTGGGTGCCACTTCCCCTCAGTCCTGATCCCTGAAACCTGTGAATTTTGAAGATATTCGTTGGGCCTTTGAGGTCTTTGTGTTCATAAAAGCCCCTGATTGCCAGTGGGGAAGATACGACCTTCAGCCAGAACACCCGGGTCAAGTTTCACCCTGGAGACCTTGGGGAAGACCTGCATGTCAACGCAACATCACCCAGAAAGAGAATTGGGACGACTTTGGATGAGAACTATCTCCGACGCGGTATGGGTCCACCTACGCCACAGGCCCATCGACGTCCAGTGGATCGGTTGCTGGGTCCGACCGCACGAAGAGCCGGAGAGCCGCCGGAACGCAGGTCCCGAGCGGCTTCTTCGACGTGGAGGCCCTGAAGATCGCTGCCGCGGCGAAGGCGCGAGGTCCCGAGCGGTGGTGAAGTGGAGTGGGCGCTGGGAACAAGGGTTTGGGTGGGTTTTGCAGTGATGAGTATAGACACATTTAGCCCCCCCAAAGACTAAAGATGATTTTTTGGTGGGGTTCATATAACCACACTGGGGAATGTGCAATCTCTCAATCTAGGAAGACGCGGATCAAAGCCGAGCTGCATAAGAAAGAATCGAACATTGTGCTGGCAAGCCTAGTGGATCTAGCAACCACAAGGATTTGGTTGGGTCTAAGTATAGATTAAGGACTAATTACCCACAAAAACTCTTTGACTTGCAGGTTGTTTGTCGAGGCAGGATAGCTGAGGAAGACGGCGTGATTTGATGGGTTGCTGGTGGCTACACCCACAAAAAAGAGATCACATAAAGTCCTGACGCATCCTGAAACCATTGGTGTTTATATGTCTATCTACATGTAGAAGTTGTAATTTATTTGAGATTATTTGAGTCTTCCAGGGCTCCATGCAATTCTACGTGCTCATGCTGGGAGATGAACCCGATTTTCCTTTTCTGTGGGCAATCAAGTTCAGGTCACTTGTATAAGCCAAACAACGACCAGTCGTTGGGTTTCATTCAAATCAAGCCATTGACCTCCTCCAAGCCCAACGCAACACCCGCCCTTCCTCCTCCAAACCCAGCTCTCCCAACCACCGGCCACCTCCGTCCCGGCCGGGCGCCTCTGGGCTCGCTCGGTGGGCTCGCTGGCCCTTGGCGTTCCGCGAGGACTTGGAGATTGTCGACGTGGAACCCGTGAGCGACTTCCGCACCTCGCGCTGCTTCTCCTTCGCCGAGGCAGCCGCGCAGAGCATGCAGAGCAGCGGCTCGGGCGCGTTTCTGCTGGGTTTTTTGGTCTATGACCGGCAGCCCGGGCAGATGATGCTTGGTAAGAGAAGGAATGTTTCTGGAGGGTGGTGTGGGGGGTGGGGGTCATGAGTAATTAGCAGGGTGACTGGATTTTTGTGTGATGTCGAGCTACTATGAATTGTTTGCCTTGAGTATAACAGAATGCAAAAGATATTTTCTATTGGTGATGTGAGGCTGGGACTTTGGAATACCTGGTGGTTCATGAAAGCTGATAGGAAGATGTGACTTTGAAAGTGGTCGCCACTGGGTCGCCACTGGGCTGAAACACGTGGCACGATCAGATCTTTCAAGAATTCGATCTGGGATCTTAGTGATTCGATCTGGGATCTTCGTCAAGATTTACAGAAACAAAGAACACACTCAGTCGATCAGCCCTGGGCACACAAGCTTTTTGCTGCTAGGAGAGGGGCATTTGTGTTGAGGATCCCTGACAAAAGGAACCTGTTTCGCCCAGGCGATTTCACTGAACCAAGATGGTTGAAACACGGCCGGCCTTCCTGCTCGTGCAGGAAGAAGGTCACTGGACACCACCTGGACACCTGGACCACCATGCTTCTGTACGTCTCAATTATAAAGAACCTAACAAACACCATCAAACACAAGCAACGCAGAAAAAGAAACAGAGAAGAAAGATACATCAACAAAAAAGACATCAACGAAAGAAAGAGGCGTCTCAGCTGATCACCAAAACCAGAGAAAAAGAGACATCAAAGCCGAGGCACTACTATGCCCTCAAGCGCCACGAACAGATGGTGGGCATCTCGCTTGCACCCGAGCGGGTCTTTGGGGACCAGTCGATGTGTTCATGTTTTCAGCGCCAGACATGGGGAACCTGTCATGTCATGGATAGATCCAGATATCCAGATCAGGTCAACCAATGCTGCTGAACTTCCGACACAACATCAAGTGAGGACATTCAGGGGTGGTCTTGACTGAAGGTGGCCTGGAATTGTTCATTTTGCTGGGTTGACATGGGTTGACATTCTTTCGGGTTGCCGTGGGTGGGCTTTCGATGGCTTTCGCAGATTTCACACGAGTGGTAAGATGTGGGGGCTTAAGGGTCACCTCTAATCGTCTAAGAGTTCTAAGTTCCCTACAAGTCAGTCTGACCTCATTTTGACGTTGGTCAGTCATACAAAAAGCTATTCAAGAAGGTCAAGGACCAGGAGACTGGACCTGGGGCAGACTGGACTTGTCTTGTAGGGATAAGAAGTCTGGATTATTTGTGTTTGTCTTATAGCATTTTCAGCATGTCAATCAATAGTTGAGGTTTGTGGAGGGCCTTCGACCGTAGGACAAATCCAGAGTCAACAAGATAAGTTTTAAACAGAAAATGCAATGGAAGCTCTATGGAAGGCCGAAGGCACGGGCGTCTCAACGGGTTAGGGTGGTTATTGACACCTAGAGCCCAGACATGACCCCTGATTTTGATAGAAAAGCATATTTTCTGGCAGTCTACTATGATGTCTTTGACCGGTATAGGCATTTTCCACAACAATGGCTACAACTTCCACAACATCAACCACAACATAGAAATTTTCATGACACCTTTTCCACAACATCAACAACAACATCAAACTTTCCATGACACCCTTTCCAGAACATCAACCTCAACATCAAACTGTCCATGACACCTTTTCCAGAACATCAACAACAACATAGTTCAGAACCAATACGGACGCGGCAACAGAGATAGAGAGGATAATTTGGTATAAGGTATAGGTGTTGAGGGCCGCTTTTGGTGGCCAATGGCCGATTTCTCTAAAAACACTTCCACTGAAATATTCAGGGTGGCACCCCTGGGAGCTTTCACAAGATAGATGACTGTAATTACTCATATCATATTGGTTTCATGTTCTCCTTATTCTTCTATGCTCTTCTTCTATTTGCAACATTCAGCTGTTCACCCCAGGGTGAACAGGTGGTGCCGCCGCGCTCGCCTCGCGCGACGACCAACGACTGCGGTGACTTGAGGCATGTGGGTGAAGCTGGACTCGCAGCTGCCACCGGTGGGTAGCGAGCCACGGAACTGCCTTCTGAAAGAGCAGGAACTCTGGGAGGCCGAGTGGCGGGAAAAGGGCCGGCGGGTCAAGCATCGTGCTAGTGTGACGACTAAAGACTATAGCCAAACCCTAAAGCCCTAAAAGGTCTTAGTTGAGATCCCTCTAACAGTAAAATAAGGATTTGATTGGCCTGGAACGTTGTGCTTTTGGAGAGTTCCAGTGGATGTCAACCTCCAAAACTGAAACCCGACGTCAATTTCTTCCCCGTTTTGCCTCAAGCCTCCCCAGAGGTCCCTTAGAACACATTGCCATGTAAGATATTAGCTTATTGCCTTGAACCCCCTCAAACTCCTAGGACCTTCTCTTCAACACCTATCGGGTGATGCGTGGTCAAAAAGACATGGGGAAATCTGGGCGAAGTAGTGTGGACACCTCCGCAAATTGTGGGACTTGCGTCATGGCTCCATGTGGCAGTTCCAACATTTAGTGCCTCCAGAAGCCTCTTCAACTCTACGCCGTTGCAGGTCTATAGCTCTTGTCAACCGCTCTTCCAGTCCTGGCTGCTCCGCTGGTATCCTGTGGTCTATCGCAAGGCCGCAGTGCGCCAGGCCGCCGAGCGCACCAGGATTTTGGGCTTCGCCAGGAGTTTTTTTCTTGCAATGAACCGACATGATACCTCCAAACCAACAAATCGACTTGCAATGAACCAACAAACCAACAAACCCAACAAACCTAGTTCCGTCTCTATTTGAGAGATCTTTGGGTTTAGATCGTTTCGTACGGAACTCGGTGGGGGATTGGGACATGATGTGCTGCTTTTGCAGCTGCAGGAGTTGGTAGATCTGTAGATGTCCGGAAACTAATGAGGCCCTCAACAGAATACACGACCTAGTGGTTTGTCCACTGTTTGCAGGACTTGATTTTAACACCAGGCAGTGTTCAGTCATTAGAACCCACCGAGCAGTTGTTTTTTGAACTCTTTTTGTGTTGGTGACCTTGATCAGTAGAGCATAGTAGAGCTCTAGTAATGCGTTCCAAGCGTTTACAGCCTCAGGAGTTCCTTTAAGGTACAGTTGTTAACTTCCTTTTTCAGTGATTCATAGGTTATTGCACTTCTTGGGGGTGTTGTTCAGTGCTGTTGTTTCTGTTGCTGTTGTTCTTCTTGTTGTTGTTGCTGCTGTTGGTGGTGTTGTTGTTGTCGTTGTTGTTGTTCTTCTTATCCTTATTATTTTTGAAGTTAGTTGTTCTTTGTGTTTTGTTCTTTTCATCATCAATGTCATCATCATGTTAATTTATTATTGTTCTTCTTCGGGCTTGTCCCTTTTGGAAGGTAACTTCACCTTATTGACCCCACCACGCCGTTGACCCTGCAGGTTTGTCACGTACTCCAGGAGCGCTTTCGGCATCGTCTCTCTCCTGAGCGGGCCACCAGTGTCCTGAAGGACAGTGCGGTCGAAAGTCGAAGGTCGTTCGCTTTTTGGCATAAGCTGCATGCATAGACCTGTGGGTAATTACATGTGGGTGTACGTTTGCTCTAAAGCTGCACATAATTATATGTGTGCATGGAACATCATGGACATGGAAAAAAAAAACAAACTAAGTGATCCTCTCAGCCAATATTAACGTGTTAAACTCGACTGGTCTTCAGGGTAATTGGGGAACAGAAGCCAACTGTTCACCGCCTCCTTTTTCGTTTTGAAGGAGAATGGCTGGTTGGTCTCTGCTGCGGTGCACCACCTCCTCGAAACGCTGCCGGTCTTGACCCTGCGCCACTGGGATCGGTAATAGACGTCTGGAAAGCTGGGAATATGGAATCTATTTGGGGAGCCACTCTATGCAAGAGTGATGTGTTTGATGTTGTTTGCAGCACTTGGTAATTACTTTTATGATCTTTGATGTACTTTTATTACATTGGTCAGTCTGTCAGCCTCAAGCAATGAGCCATTAATTAGAAGTGATCCACCACGAATTCCCCCCACATCGCTCCCCCCAACTTGGCGAGCTTCCCTCGCCCTGTGGCGGGTACGCTTCCCTCGCCCGGTCCAGGTCATCTCTTGGTGAAGTTCGCCAGGCCGTCCGAGGCCGAAATGCCGCTCGAAACCAGCGGAACGCGCCACGTCAGGCCTTCTGGGGGATTCACCGGGCCCGGGACCTTGGTTGCTTGTTGGAGATCACCGCAGCTCCATGAATTCGCACAGCTTTTTGTTGTGAGTAGTGTTTTTCCCCCTTCAGGTGCACACAATGAGGTAGGTAAATGGTTCGGGGGTCACCGATTTCACCTGATGGTTTCGTGTCTTACGATCGGACTGCGTGTTGTGCTTGATACGCTCCGGTCCTCGGATCTGGTCCTGCTGGGTGAAGGACCTCAAACGCAGGGTTCGGTCCGCCAAATAGAAAGTGACAGTGATTCACTTGTGCCTGACCTGTTTTTTCAGGGATTCACTTAGTGCATTGCGATTGCATACCGGTAATGAATATAGAACACGGAACACGCATGACCTGTAGCCTGTAACTGTGTAACTTTCTGAATTGGTCCTTTCACTTTCACTATGTGCAAGACCGGACCTGTCAGTAACAAGGAATTCACCTTGACAATTGTGACCTGTCAGCACATGCTGAAAGGAACGCATGACTCATGTCAATACCCGTTTTACAAATTCCAAGATATTATATGCTGATAAGGTTAGCATGAGTGGTCATTGACCATCAAAATCAATCGGGTCATAGGGAAAAAAACATAGGTTGTGCTGCACTTAAAATGACCTCCCAAAGTCCCCTTGAGCCCCTTGGCCAGCCCCACTCCCAACTCTTGGCTTTTGAACGGGTGGAGCTTTTAAAGCTTAAACCTGTTGTTTTTGGCACAACATCGTAAAGAAAACAACCAAACAAATATAATGTTGTTGGATTCTTCCATCGTCTTAGAAGCACCTTTTCAATCCTTTTCACATCTTTCACAACATACACCAAGCTTGGTATATCTTTTGGGGGAACATGGTGAATGCTCATGGATCTCCCCTCCCCTGCTGGTTCTCTTTTCTCCGGTTTTACACCGAGGCAGAGTTTGCTCGAGGCCTCCGGCTGGGACCTGACGCGCGCCCAGCCAGCCACTTGGGCCAGTTGCAGAGGAAAGGAGGAGAAGTACAGAGAAGGGGAGGAACAACAGACCATGGACCATGGATGTGTTTGATTCTTTCTTCCTGTATTTTCACTCCAAATTACTTTACTTCGAATGATCCTCACCGTGACATTTCAATCCGAAAAATTGCCTTCAAATCGGAAAATCGGACCATGGATGGACCAGGGATGTGTTTTGATTCTTTCTTCCCAATCCTCTCAACAAAAAGAACTCACCTACACCCAGAGCCTGATACCAAACCCCTCCCCGGTTGCCACGCAGTGTGCTGACGTCGGTTGTTTGTTGGGATGCTCCAACCCTCTGAATGCATTCCATCGATCAAAAGGAGCGTAGGATGACCGTGTCTCACATGAAGGATGCCGACCCGCCGACCTTAACGACACCGGGAAGAACCATCAAGCACTGCAATCACCAATTCCATGCATACGTCCAGGTAAACCTCTTCACCATTGCCATGTGAAGGGGAGAAAGTCTATTGTTCCTTTAGCATTGCTTTTTTGCATAGGTTCATGCCTTTCTCGCACTGCCCATTTACCCTAATCCCATCTAATCCCTTCATCAAAGGTTACTGTTCCATTCGCATCGTTCCAATCTGCGATGCTCAGAGTCGGTGCAGGTCTCGATGCAAAACTGTTTGGCTCTTTGTAGCAATCATGAGACGAAAAAACTTAACATATATGTTTTTCAGTACTCTCCATATATACGTGTCCACATTGTGTGTGTTTTCAGATTCCATGTGGTTTCCATGTTTGTTCAATGCATATTCCATATGTTTCCAAGTGTTTGTCTATGTGCAGGTGTCGAAGCCATAGTGGTTCTATATTGCATGCTAACTTGAGGGATCACACCTGGCTCCAGGCCATTGACCGGGTGCTCAAGCAACGGATCGCCTTGGCCAAGCAGGTGTGCGGGGTTCAGCTGGCTGCAGCTGCACAGCGGGGGCAGGGTGCCCACTTGATAAGACAAATATAGGGATCTTACATGCCAGAGTTTTTTGATTGTTTTTGCTTGCTACTAACTCTAGACTCTAGTGGTGTTATGTGTTTTTTTTGTTTATCATTGTGCATTCGACAGAAGTAGGGTTCAATGCCAATAGAAGCCACAAACAAAGCAAGAATTGGGGCGTGCGAGGGGTTAGGGGTGAAATTTCCTGAAGCGCCCAGCACGTCAGCAGACTATATTGACTGTATCTATTTCTAAAGCAACCACAACCATGACCCTGCCAAACCAAATGGCTCAGATTGAACGGTCGAAAACCGATTTCCGCCCGAGGACGTTTTTTCAAGGATAAAAAGACGCCTTTTAAGGAACATTCCAACATTTGGCACCTTTGAGACGGTCCAGGAACAAATCACATGGAATGCCACATCACTCTTGGTTTTGTCAGGTACGGTCATAGTCATTTGGGTACAGGAAATCAAGAGGTGGACTCACTACACTGTTTCTAGACCTGGATTCTAGACAGGTGCTCACACTGTGATCGACTCGGATCGGGTCGGTCTTCCCAAAGACGTGGCGTCCAAAGACGAGGAACTCACTGTTCTTCCTGGAACTTCCATTCAGGTAAACCGGTGTCTATAGGACTTCCGAAGAACACCGAAAAGTAGCCAAGATAGCCACACATCATAGAAACAACTAAAGAAGACACACAAAAATAACATGAAACAAAACTAAATAAATAAAAGAACACGTGCATTGTCAGGTGGACGCCGGTGAGACCACGGTGGAAGCCTTGAGTCTCTGCGATTGGGAGCCTCGAGGCACGGTGTTATGAGACGTTTCTGGTGTTTCTGGCACGTGCAGCGTCCGTGGAAGGCATCGTAGTAGATGATGCTCTGATAAGAAAGAGAGATAGTGCGGGGCACGCACTTCAGTTCTGCAAAAGAACTGGACAAAGCATCGTTTTATTTTGTTTTTTTATTTTTTTTCTGGACGTCAAGCATTCCAGATGAGTCTTGTTTTCGTGATCTTGTTGGATCAGGGTAGATCTACACCGAGGGAATCTCTACACCAAAGGTCCGAAGTGCCCGGAGTTCGCCCGGAGTCACCCGGTCTTCTTCAAGCCCGGAAATCAATGCAGACCGAGCTTGGTCTTCTTCACTTCGGCAGAACAGAGTGCCGTCGTTCAAAAAGGCCATCCACAAATGCCCAGTTGCACGCCCTTGGCCACGCGGCGATCGCCGCGATCGCCGCCATCGCCGGTCGTTGGAGAGGTGCCGCTGCGCTGCTGGCGCTGCAGCTCCACCTGGGCGAAGGAAGCTCGTTGGTGGAGCTGAAGGAAGCCCTGGAGTGGGCCGAGGGCGAGGCCGAGAAGGCCGAGGCGGTGGTGAAGCTGAAAGCGCAGCTGGGCCTCTCGGATCTGAGTCTGGAAGTGTGGTGAACTCTGACTCAGCTGACATGAAGCGGGAAACAAACCATAGTTGTATTGTATTTGTTTGTTATGTTTCTAGAAGAAAGTAGGCTTCCAAGTTGAGCATGTGACCATTTCATGTTAGTGAGTCAGAGTGTACTGGGTAGTATCTGAAAGGAGGGCGGAGGTGTTTATCCCACGAGTTTTTGGGTGGTCAATTGAGAGGGCAGTGCGGGAGTTTGGCTGAAGATGTTGGGTGAAATAATTGTGAGGACAAGATCAGATTCCCTTCCCTCTTTCTATGTTCTGGAGATATGTTGGGTTTCTTCAACTTTAAGACAGCCACTTGGCAATAAGGGAGAGTCCAAGGCTGAGATTCCGGCCGGTTTCAATCAGCTGAACCCTCCTATATGATTGGAGTTAGCGCTTGCCTACCAAGATGAGAGCTGGTACCGATTATGGCAGTGTGTAGGTGTCATGGGAGAGGGACATGATAACATTAAGCTGGTGAGAAGAGAAGTCACTGATAAATCCCATGGCCGGATTGACCGTTCTACAATAGAACTTGTTCGCAGCGTAATATAGCTATCGCTTTGCAAGAGGTAGTATATAATTAAGCAAGGGATCGCACATTGGGTCGCAAGCGTGCTGACCTATGCATGTGCGATGATGCGGTACTTCTGTATAGATCATGGAGCTGAAACTCAGTTGTGTCGCAGCGTGGTTCTGGCAGAACAGCACTTGGCTAGAATACTCCAAGTACAGGTCCAAAGACCCAGTGAAACCTGGTCCTTTACCTCACTGAGTATAGTATATAGTGTATTATAGTTATGTGTATGATCATGATATCAACTCCAGTCTAAGTGAGATCTTTGACCTGTAGTTCCTGCACAGCTTTGCCTTCGCGGTCCAGGAAGTATGGAAAGCGCGGCCAAGCTGCTTCACCAGACTCACACCTGGTCGGTGGCCACGGACACTTGGACCGAAATGGGTTTGGACCTCAGCATTGCTCATCAGTGTTTGTGTATTTATCATTTATATTAATTTACTATTTACATACCCCTTAACATATCCCAATATGAAAGCACAGGGGTCCACTCCCCTATAAAACGGCTTTATACATGTATAAAGGGGAATCTATTTACTATGAATGGAAATTGCTCGAAGTCGGAGAATCCACATGAAACCTTTGGATGGAATCAAGCTGGATCCTCCGTGTGGGAATCAAGCTGGATCGTCCGGTGATGCAGTATTTTTTCTTTCCAGGAACAGACACTTCACTTGGTCCGCATGGCGAGAAACATGGAGATGGTTAGTGTTTGTTCCATGACCTGTGACAGTCAATAAAAGCTTATCACTATTTTTCAATAACAGTCACTATGCCTTTCCTAAAACCATCATCATCCACGGTTACAGGGAATGGAATACACTGTTCACTCAAGAGATGCATCCAGAATCCACTCCTTAAGACATCTGACCGCCTTCGCCCGAACGCCCGAACGCCCAGAGCAGTCTTCCCGGGCTCCGACCGCACGAACCGCCTGGGCGGAGCGGAGGCCACGAAGGTCCTGGAGGTCCGGCGACGCTTTCCACGCGCCAACGTGCCGGTGGCGCTGGAAGTACTCCGCCGCTTGGGTGGCGATGGATGTCGAAATCGGCCGTGAAACGATCGGTTTTTTTGGAGGGGGAGGTGTTTGGAAGCCCAGAAACACCGCATTCGTTTTTTTTGCATTTTTGTGCTATAATTAGATGTCATTGCTAAGGAAAAGGGACATACAATACACATCATCTCCCAAGAGCCCCTGACTACGGCTCTGATGGCCCGTCTGGCATCACTTCCACCCACCCGTCCACCCCCCCCCCCCCCCCCCCACCCACCCACGTGTCTCTCTCCACCGCGCTTTGAGGCCGCAACGACGACGACCCCCACGCGGCGTGCGAGATGCTCGAGGAGTTCCGACAGCGGATCCGGCGCACCGTGAGCGAAGAGTGGGATCACTACTTGCTACAAGGCGCGGTGCGCCAGTCATCGGGTCATCGGGTCATCGGCAGATCCTCCGCAATCTGCAAGGTGTAGATCGAGTCTAGCAACTTTGGAGACCACCCACCCCAAAGGTGGTCTCAAAACAGTTGTCCTCCATGTCTCTATAGGCGAGTGACACGGTGAGTGTTGATTGTTTTTTTGGGGGAGTTATTCTTGGAGCTGGGCACATGAGGCAAGTTGACCTTCGTCTTGCCGGTAGGCCTAAGCTGTTGCAATTCCCATGCCCCATCATGCCCCCAACACATCCAAAAACCATACCAGCTACAAACCGCATCAAGCCACAAAAAACACCACATCTCCCGATCATCTCGCCAAACTCAAGAAAAGCCACCAGCAACTCCTCTCCACACCTCCCTCCCTCCCTCCCTCCGGCTCTTGCCCTAGGGGAAGAGGCCATGGTGGCCGATGCGGCACTGGACCGGTGTGGTTGGGACCCTTCGAAGGCCTTCTTGGCCGCGCGGCACCTGGCCGTCGCGGCCAAGAGCACCCGGAAGCTGGCGATGACCGCGGCGCCTCAGCTGGAAGGATGGATCTCAGTGGGGGCAGCAGGGGCCGAGGGTCTCTGCAGGGGCCGAGGGCAGTGGGGGGATCAAAGCATAGAGTGCTGTGAAGCTTAGTGTTTCTATTCGTGTGGGGACTGCTATCTAGACAGAGAAAGCGATGGTGGATTTTTGCTGGTTTCAAACCCCTACCAATGGAACCCAAAACCTACGAATTTGTCGTGTCTGATGGAAAACATCGTGTTTGGGCTCCACTTGACTAAAAACATTGTGTTTCTGTTGAAAACATCATTTTTCCAAAAGCACTAAGTTTCGAACCCGTATAAAAACCGTAGAAAACCCGTAGAAAACCGTAGAAAACCCGTAGAATCCCGTAGGCAATCGTATCGTTTTGAGGAAGTCAAAAAACCTCGTGTTTTCATTAAAAACCTCGTGTATTTTCAGGGTATGACATTTTTAGGAGTTCTTGGTTCTCTAGGTATAGGAACCCGAAAAACGGCCAAGGCGAGAGGCGAGTTGCTTGCGGCACATGTGGACCCTTGAACTCTCTTATTAACGCCACTGAGGTGCAGCATCCCTCCTTCTCCCAGCCGCGTTTCCCCATTGACGCGGTGATCGCCGCACTGGTGGCCACGGATTTGAAGCCCAAAGTGGCCGTGCGAGCGCCGTGGCCGTGGGAAGGGTGGGATAGGGTGGGATGGGGATGGAGGCGTGGGGAGATGTCGTTTGAGAGGTGAACGATTGAGCAGGAACATTTTGCAGGTGGAGATTGTAGTGGAGATGGCTTGGGTATGACGGTGGTGGATTTCGGTTGGCTGGTTTCTCACCGGTACGTCGTTTTAGTTAATCTGGTTCTTGCTTGGATTCAATCAACCTGCTAACATAACATTTACTTCTTGTACCTACCAGTCCACCTACAGTACCTACCATTCGGCCTGTCTACCTATCTACCTATCTATATCTACCTCCTTATCGAACTGACTAGCTATACCCAACAAACGACCTCAGACCAGCTGAGCGGCCGTAAAAACGCCGCGCACACCGCACAGCCAGCCCTGCGTGTACTGCGTGTAGCGGAGGTCCTTTTCGGTGAGCCCCAGTGGAAGGACGTGAGGCAGAGCGAGCCTGAGCCTGAAGAAGACGACTCGACCTGCTGCGTTGCTTAAAAGATGGACGGACGTCGACCAGTCCATCGGACGGCGTGGTGACGTGGATGGCATGGGTCCGATCACCTCATTGTCCTCGTTGTTGAAGGTTTTGGAGTGTAGATGTCAGAGGGATGGTGGGGGTGGGCAATGGAGTGGTGGAAGTGTTCGTGGCTTGTTTTCTGGTGCAGAGGTGCCCCAATCGGAGGTATCGAACTGAGCCTTCTTCGTTGAACTGAGGTATGGAACTCAGGGAATCCCTAAGAGGCACCTCCCTTCAAGCGACTTGTGATGTGCAGTTGATGAGGCAAAGTTAAGGTACAAAAACCTCATGTTTAAGTGAAAACATGTGAACATGCTTTCTGTGGCTAGTTGCAAATAACCCTCACATCCAGGAATCCACTTTCGCATTTCAAAGTGTACCGGACATTTCAAAGTGTACCGGATGAACAGGGCATAATAGGGTAGATCACTGACTTACAGAACGTCACGACTTGGAGATACTTGAAGATCCTTGAAGATGCGGAAGATGGACTTCAGAAAGCAGATAGGTTTTATGATGAAGCCATCAGGGAACACACCCCGAAAAACCAAGCATCTATTTGATGGGAGAGTGTCTCCGGGGTCCTAGAAATCTCATGCCGTAGAGCTCCCTCAGCTGCAGGAGCAAGGACGCCTTGAATCCGTGAGACGTTGCACCTCTTTTTCCTTACGCCAGAGCCGTGCGTGCGTTTGTGCGTCACCAAAAGGTTCCGACGTAGCACTTGGACGGAAGTTGTGGAGTGATTTCTGACACTCGTTCTGTTGTGTAGGACCCTACCTGAGGATACTTGAGGCTTTAGTATCGCCATTGTTTGTTTTTCACCAACATTTATTTGTTCGACCCTTAGTGGTGTTCCAGGCCCTTTTTGTGTCCTGCACACAGACTTGGACAGAACTGGCACGAAACCACCTGCCTTGGTGGTGGTCGCTTGTGCTTCCCTGGCTCGGACATGAATATGCATGGCATGGATGCGTTTTTCTTCACCTCACCAGTCAACAACTGCACAGGACCTGTTTCTTCAGCTTCCAGCAAGGTTCTTTGTAAATAAAACTTGTTGAAACAACAACATTTACTGTTTCAGGACCCCTTCGTGGCCTTCCATATGGACTTGCTTCTTGTTCAACAGGACTTGGATGCAAGAATGGACCTTCGAGCCATGCTTTCGAGCCATGTTCCTGTGATAGGAAGGGACCATTTTCATTTGATTGTTTTGGGGTACTTGGTCATCCGAAATAGAGGTCACTCAGGTTCTAGATATATGGGAATGGGTTGACCACCAGCTCGGTTTTGACGTTTACCCTCATGTTTTTCAGATTTATGGCGCTCAACTTGCGGCTCTCATCGGCACATCTTTCCTCGCCCAGCGGGCGAACGGAGTTCGGTGCTTTGAGAAACACTTGCGAACCACGACGGACGCCCCATTTGAAGGTGTCGAACGGATAGAGGAACTCCTTCTCCTCACAGTCCAAACGGGTAAAGGTTGTTAGAGATAGGACGAACTCATGTGTTTTGTGCGATAGTTGCCAGGATTTTCTTGGTAACTGACTTCTATTGTACTTGGCCTCGAGGCAACCACCATTTTCTGGAGTTTGTGTGTGTGTGACAAAATATTCTCATGGCCAATGACTCACATATTCTTCCGTAGTACCATGTTCGGCCGTTGTTGAACCACCGATTTCCCACCACACTGACTTTGCTGCTGAATGTCCCGGCTCGGCTCACAGTCAGTAGACACGGGAGGAAGGTGTTTCAGTCATCATGCTTGGAGCTCAGGAGGGTTGTTGTTAGTGGGTGGTGATCTTGGCTGGTTGCTGGATGTTGTTTGCCATCATTGTTGGTATGTTGGTGTCTCCAACATGGTGATGGTAATGCAGGCAGCAAACGAACATGGGCTTGTCGAGTGAGATGAAATACTGTGACATTGTTCAGCTTGCTTGAGCTCCTGGAAATGTATTAGTTATCATATCATGCCTTTCTGTTGCGCAACATGTGCGCCACTCTTTTGCGCCAGGCACAGATGTCACTCTTGTACTGTCATGCGGGGTGGCTCAAGTCTCCTTTCTACTTGGACCTGGAGCATTTTCGAGTCAGGGGCGCTCAGGGTCACTCAGTGTCCTAAAGCAGTCAAGGGTGTCTCAGCCATGGGTTCTGCCTTGAGCACCGAAGAGCTGAGGAGTGTGACTTCGGCCCTCCAGAAGCTTTCGGAGAAGGACAAGAAGGTGCAGGAGAAGGCTGCCGCCGAAGTGTGTGAGATGGCAGATGATGAGGAGATGAGAAAGGAGATCATGAAACCTGAAATGCTCACTGCATTGATGAAGGGTGGACAGTTGGGAAGTCCAAAGGCACGGAAGATTGTAGTCAGGACCACGATGGTGTTGGCCGACCATTCCCCCAGCAGATGCAAGATGCTCATTAAAGCCGGTGCTATGGATGTCTTGCACTCTTTGGCCTTAGCAAAAAAGAGTACCAGTGAAGCCAAGAGGTTGGTTGCCAATTGTGCATGGCAACTCTTGCGGTATGACCACGAAGTAAACAACATCGACAACATGCCCGAGGACCCTCAACTCATTGAAGCTCTAGTTTGCTGCGTCAAATCAGCTGCGAAGGAAGGCAAAGAGAGAGCCAGTGATGTCCTCCGATGGCTCGGAAAGAAGGAGACCAACCGAGCCAAGATCGTCGAGGCAAGTGGTCTTGAGACACTGGCACGCTTGGCAAGGTGCGGCACTCAACGGGAAAGAAGCTCTGCACAACGTGCCTTGGAGGAGTTGGACGAAACCACGATCGAAGACAAAAGTGGCAAGGCCAGAGCTGAAAGCCGACGGAAAGCATTTCGGCCATTCTCACTCTATCGGATGCTGCCATCTCGCATGTGGACTTTACTTGGATGGAGAGCCAAGAGGATGCAAGAGGCAGCCTTCAAAGACGCATCCATCACTCCCCTGGAAGGCAGTCACCTCAGCTTCAATACACCCAGCCAGGTGGCTGCCATGGATGCCCCACAGGCCCTAGTTCCAGCAGTCAGCTTCAGCACAGCCAAGCGCCCACCTGACAGTGTCCGACGTCGGTGGCAGCGACTGTCGTGTGAGGCAGAGGTAGAGGATGAAGACAGTGAAGAATACATGATAGACATGCCTGAGGATCCCCAAGTCATCAAGGACTTCGTTTGCTCCGTGAAGTCAGAGGCAGGTGAAGGCAAGGCCGGCGCCACCGAAGTGGAGGATGTCGTTGATGCAAGTCTAGACTCCTTGCAAACCTTGGCCTGCTTTGGCACCGATGAGCAGAAGAACTTTGCTGAACAGACTTTGAAGGAGCTGTTGGTCGGGGAATTCTCTTCAGCAATTGAACAGCTCAAAGACGACGATGAAAAGGTGCAAGAGGAGGCAGCCGCCAAATTGTGTGAGTTGGCAAAGAATCATAAGAGGATCAAACCCGAGTTCATGCGGCCTCAGACGCTTCAAACATTGATGTCTTGCGGAAAGTCGGGGACTGAAAAAACCCAAAGACGTGTAGTCAAAACCCTGATAGAGTTGACCGACAGCTCCCACGACTGCAAGATCATCAGACAAGTCGGTGCCATCGATTTCTTGCACCCTTTGGTCTCAGAGTCTACTTCCAGGAAGTCCAGGGAACTGGTTGCCCAATGTACATGGAACCTGCTGCGCTATGAGAATGACGACAACATGCCCGAAGACCATCAACTCATTGCAGCTTTAGTATCTTCGGCCACGTCCGCTGGAGGAGAAGGCAAGAGGTTTGCCGTTGGCGTCCTCGGATGGCTCGGGAAGAAGGAGATCAATCGAGCCGAGATCGTCCGGGCGTGTGGTCTTGAGACCTTAGTATGCTTGGAAAGGAGTGGCACTCAACAAGAAAGACGTGCTGCACGATGTGCCTTGGAGGAGTTAGCAAAAGCGCCTGAGATTGCGGACCAGATTGAAGAGCTCAAGTCTGTCAAAGCACTTGGCCTGAGGGAGAACAAGTCCTTTGGAAAAGCCGAGAAGCAAAGAGACATGGCAGCAATAAGCAAATCAATTGTTTGTTTTCTTTTATGAACACGGCTGAGTTTTGCAACCTGTGCATGTGCATGGCCACAGCCCGGACGGACAGGACGTGACTCCCATATTGAATATCTAACTGTTGCTTTAAATTTTGTCTTAATGCGTTTTCATGGCTTGGAGTATAGTCTGACGGCCACACCACTATCATTCAGTGTTACTTTGGGTTCGGCAACAATTTAACTAAGTCAAGTCCTTTAGGGGCGGCATAAGGGGATTGTCACAGAGAAGATAATGTTTTGAGGGCAAAGGTGATGAAAGGTGTTTGAACATGATGTTTTCCACCCCACTACCCAACATGCCGGTGAGAATGTTGAGATGCCATTGATTCTTTTGGTTGGATGGTTTGACACCAATGGCGGCTTTCAAGCCGTATAAGTTCTCCCAGGAAGGGGCCAAAAACCGGGGCCGTTTTCAGCAGAGATTCAGTGTGTCGAAGGTGATGGCAGAAACGCAACACCTGCGCCTTTGACGGCAACAACCATTCAATCAGGCAACCTGGCCGAGATCTTTTTCATTGCAGCGAAAACAATGTTGTTTTTTCTTAGGTCCGCGGGTAATTGCTCATAATCAAAGCCTTGGATTGTTCAATCCAAGGTAAAGGCACTCCTGTTGCTATGTTCTCCTTGCGCTTTGATGGCGGAGAGGTCTCTTGTTGGCGTAAGCTGGGACCGTTTTGACGATTCGATGTGGGGCAGTGATGGATGATGTACAGATATGTTAGCCGTTAGATGAGCAGTTAAATGAGCAGGCCGCAACCGTTTTTAAAGATTGATGAAACAACACTCAGGTTGAGAAGAACTTCAGGGCAGTTCACGCATTGCTCCAAGCTTATGAGTATGACGTCCTGATGGTTGATGCTGATGCGGGAGACAATTTTGGTATCCTCACAACGGAGTACCTTTCAAGAGTCAAGAACGAGAACG